TACACCACTAAATTACAGTTGGTATTTCTGTTTCGTAAATTCCAGTGCTCTGTCACTCGTACGTATATTATGTTATGTACATATGTTAATAGAAAATATTTTTGTTAATAAAATGTTGAATGAAAGCGTTAATTTAAATTATAATATAACGAAATTGAATCGGGAAAATTGTTACTTGTAACACTTGTAATTTTCAGTTAAAATGGATCTGTTAGTATTATTATTTTAAAGTGCATTATTATTTACAATAAACTATTATAAAATGTTGCTATTTTTTAAATTAATAATGGATTTATTAAGGAACTGAAATTTAGTTAAGATTCACGTAATATAATTGATCTTGCTAGACTTTAATTGGTGAAGGACGATCGGTATTAAAGCGTAATTCTTTACCGATTGCGCACCGCGGCGGCATGTGACGTCACGCATCACCGCCCCGCGATGCCTTTCGGGAAATAGCGTCGCCATCTTGAGTGGCATGGCCCAGCTAGACAGTGCGCCCTGAGCAAAGACATGCGATTTATCGCGAAAACATTGAACGTCCCGAGAATCACGGATTCCTGTGAATCATAGCAGATCCTTGGTGCTTCGCACCTTCATCAAAATGGAGGCGGTTAAGGCATTTAATGCGGAGGTGAGCTTATTCTTACCCTCGATTCTTCTTCTAGCCCGCCGACTCTCCCTCTTCCTTTTTTCTCTCGTTTCTCCTCTTTCCGTTTCCCTTTACGATATTTCTGTTTCGAAGTCGTAAGCAACACATACTGTGAGATAGATTCCTAGAAGAAATGCTCTTCTCAATGTTCTTTAGTGATCGTGATATCAGGATTCGAGTGATGCTGTGTTCGACGAATGCTTTGATTTCTAGTCCCTATGCAAGAGAGGGGGAGAAACTATCTCTATACGCAGGCAAGAGGGAGAGTAGTGAACGAGAATCTTTATTATGATTTAGAGTGTTTTTGTGATATATGATTGCGGTAGATATTGTTATTAATCAAGATTTATGACATTGGTTAGATGGTGGGAAGAAATAAATATTCTAATATTTGTGTGTTTAAAGAAAGGTGATAACAGGGGGGAAGAATGAGGAAGAAGAGTATAAGGGGTAGTAACAACTTCTATGATTTATATTAATAATATTAGTGGTTATTTTTGCTACTATATTTTAAATGGTTAAATTTGGAAACAAGTATAATTCAATGCTTTCGATATCTTAATGTAAATATAGATGTTTGTATGTGTATAATGACATAAAGTATAAAAACTAAATTACATAATATATACAAAAATTGAAGCAGTTTTTGGAAACTATGTATGAAATACATACGTTTAATTCTCTTCATTTCTCGTTTGAAAGTTGATGTATATGGTTTGACCAAATACAAACAAAACTTAATTTTAATAATACACAGTCAATATTTCAATGAGAAATTAACATGTTTTCCTTGTTTCAGCTTTCAGCTCTTTACGATGTCAAACCACCAATTTCTAAGGCCAAGATGAACTCTTTAACTAGGGGCGCAATTAAGGCAATCAAATTCTATAAACATGTTGTGCAAAGTGTTGAGAAGTTCATTCAAAAAGTATATTATTTAATAATTTATATTATTATGTTTTAATGTATAGACCAGTCTTTTACCAGTTATTTGTATGTTACAGTGTAAGCCAGAGTACAAAGTGCCTGGACTGTATGTTATAGATTCAATTGTACGCCAGTCTAGACATCAATTTGGAGTAGAGAAAGATGTCTTTGCTCCACGTTTTGCTAAGAATATGCAAACCACCTTTTTGAATCTTCTGAAATGTCCTCAGGAAGACAAGAGTAAGGTGATTAGAGTTTTAAATCTTTGGCAGAAAAATGCAGTTTTCCCTTCTGAGGTTATACAGCCTTTATTCGATCTTGCGGACCCAAATCATCCAATTCATAAAGAGCAAGCAGTTAACGCAAATGGTAAAAGAATTTCACTTGTTACAGTTTTATAATATCAGAGAAATTAAAAGTTACAGTTAATCAAATTTAAAATAAGACTGAATTTCCTGTTACTATTTTACAGGTACACTGAATACTTCTTCAACAAATAACACAAGTAATACAGGTACTGCTGTTAAAACACCTCCCTTAACTGTAAAGAATGCAGTAAAAGATCAGAAGCTGTTTTCCTCTGCAAAGACAATTGATCCTGTTTGGCTTGCGCAAACGAAAATGGAAACAGCAAATATAGTAAATGCTAATAAGCTCTTGGTATGTCTTCAAATATTTAATTATTAAACTTTTTTATTTCATTTTACTGTACCATTGATTTCAATTCGTTTTAGGGCCAGACAAATGCAGGTCAAATGGATGCGTCTTTTCTTGATCAACTACAACATTTACAACAATTATTGCTTAAAAAACAAGAGGCAGCAAATGAACAAAAAACTTCCGTGAAATTTGATAAGAAGCTGCTAGATTTTGATTATGGCGAAGAAGAAGACGATGACGTTGTTGTTGCGAATTCTCCAGTGGCAACAACGGCGTCAAATGCTGGCCAACACAACGTTCCTACAGGAAATAGTTTAGAAAGTCTTGGATTTCTTCTAACAAATCCAGAGGTATACATTAAAAGAAGTTTGGATAATATGTTTTACATAAAATAAAATTTGTCACTTGCAACTAGAATAAAATTAATTAATTGTTTAATTTGTAACAGGTTTTAAGACAGCTTCAAACGTTACAACAAACAATGCAAGGAAATGCTTCTTCATCGCAACATGAAATGGAAGAAAAGATGAGGAAACTACAACAAATGAAGCAACAGGAGGAAGAGTTTGATAAACACCTAGCACAAACTGTTCCTGTAAGTTAATGCGAAATATAAAATTTTATATGTATTTATATAATAATGTACATATATTGTATAAATCTAAATTGGAGATGATTTTTCACGATTTTTTTTTTATTTCTTTAGAATTTACCATTTGCGTCGGAATGCGAATTAAAACCGTCGGACATTTTGAAACCAAATCAACAAAACACATACACAACAAATGTAAGTAGTGGGGTCATACAAGATATGAGTCAACCGCCACCAGGTTATCCACCGGCTCTACCGTATGCCTCTCAACCTCTGTCAAATATTAGGCAAATTAATCAACAAGGCCATCAGAATCAAAAAAGTCCGCTTCTCGATGAACGACAAGACACGCAAGATTATTCAGGGTAAAATATTTAACTTAACGCTTCAATTTACGATTAACTTCACTCGTTCATGAAGTTCACATTCATTTTAACTTTTTCCATTACTTGATGATTTAATTTAATTAAATATTTAAATTAATTGTTAATAATTTATAATTACAGAAATGGTGCAAGGCGAGATAGTAGCAGTGTAGAAATTGTAAATTGTGATAGTGCGAGATCACAAAGCAGATCTCCTGATCGATATAGGCATCACAGTCGATCTAGATCACCACGACATAGAGATAGAGATAGAGACAGGGATAGAGATCGAGATCGAGACAGAGATAGAAAATCCCGATCGAGAAGCAGGTCCAGAAGAAGGAGGTAATTGAAATACTTACATTTGTTTCTAAATTTACATTCATTTCTTACTTTATTATGAAATATTACATTGCAGGTCTCGCTCTAGAGATAGAGGACGTGATAGAAAACGCGATGATAGTCGAGAAAAAATGACTGAAGAAGAACGAGAGAAGGAAAGAGAAAGGCGTAAACGAGGCCTGCCACCAATTGTGAGAGATAAATTAAGCGGTAGTTTTCACATTATTATATTTATTGATGATATTCATGATGTCATAATGGCATAGTAATACTTATTAAAGCCAATGTTAAATAATGTTCTTATAATTAAAAATCTAATATCTGTTACAGTTTGTAGTACAACGCTTTGGGTAGGGCATTTATCTAAGTTGGTACATCAAGAAGAACTTTCAGACACTTTTGGAGAATTTGGTGATATTGTCAGCATAGATTTAATTTCACCTAGAGGTTGTGCTTTTATATGTATGAATAGAAGACAGGATGCATATAGAGCTCTTACTAAACTTAAAAATCACAAAATGCAGGGGAAAGCAATCACTGTAAGTTATGTAACTTATAACAAATTTCATGTTTAAACTTTATAACGAAATATGTTTTTGGAATAATAAAAATGCTTATGTATTTTAGTTAGCCTGGGCACCAGGAAAAGGTGTAAAAGGGAAAGAATGGAAAGATTATTGGGAAGTTGAACTGGGAGTTAGTTATATCCCTTGGAATAAATTAATTAACGTTACTGATCAGGACCTAGAATTACTTGAGGAAGGTGGAATGATTGATGAAGATACCCTGCCGCCTAATTTGAAAGGTAACTAAAATTATTTATAGTCACAAATTGAATTATCATATATCATTTTTTAACCTTAATTGTATTCTGTAATTATTATTTAATACATCTTGTAGGTAAACTAAAGCATTCCGGAACAAATGCAGACATACTTCAGCAGCAATTGCAATTACAGCAACAAGCTTTGGTTGCAGCTGCCGCTATGCCAAGTCTAGCTGATGGTATTGTGAATGTAATGCAACCTACAACTGCCACTCAGCAGCAGCAGTCTCAACAGAGTCAACAACAAGGTCAACAACAGCAGCAAGTGATTGATACAAGTCAACCACCCCCCATTAGACCTCCTACGTCAGCTGCACTTCTGCCACCGCCAAATACCCAACTACAAATGATGCCACCTGCTTTCACAATGCCCGGAGTCCCCCGTAATTAATGTTTTATTGTATGATATTCTGTTTTTAATTATTGAAACGCTAAATTGTTTTTGCTATTGTTTAGGCATGCTTGGACCAATGGGATTACCAATGGCGCATAGCTTGATGCCGAATGTTCCAATAGGTGTACCACCGCCAAATATGCAAAGTTTGTTAGGACCGCCAGGAATGATGCAAACTATGCTTACACCACAAGTTAATTCACCGTTTGGAGCTGGCGTAGGTGTCGGTTTATTGACTCAAATACCTCTGCCAGCACCTGCTGCACCTTCTGATAAGCCCAATTCTACTGGTACGTGTAGTTAAATTGAAATTGATTTTGTCATAACAACATGAGAAACAATAAAAGAGGAAGTAATTAAATTTTATTTGAAAACTTAATAATATTTTCAGGTATGCCACATAATGTTCCTCCAATTGGAGTTCCGCCACCAACAACGGAAACGGGAATGCCAAATCTGCCAATGTTACGTCAGCCTTACGGTGTAGGGCCTTCTGCTCCTTTACAAATGCAACTACCTCAACAACAACATTCTGCGGATGATATGGATGTAGAAATGGAAGACGCGATGCCTCAAAGTTCGAATGGGGCTAAGAATAAGGGCAACTTAATTGACCAATTATCACAAAACGACGACAGGCCAGATGGTGATCAACAATCAGATGTAAGAATTTATTAATGAATTTTTTCTATGTATTTAGAAATGGACTAATATATTTAATTCCAGGCAGCTTTTATATTTGTAGTGAAAATGTACTATAATGAATTATATAAATTTAATTTAAATTTAGCAACAGCATCGGGATTACAAAGAAAGAGACAGGGAACGAGAAAACAGAGAGAGAAGAGATAGAGAAACACATTTGTCTCATAGAGATAGAGACAACAATGATTCCAGAATGGATCGTGGAAGGGAAAGAGGTAGAGGAAGAGATCGGGGACGCGACCGTAGGAGAGATATCAGAGACAGAGATAGGGATGAGAGAAGAGAAAGAGAGAACAGAGAAAATCGCGAAGGCAATCCACAAAATCAAAGCCTTCAAGTACTAATTTTTAAATTTAGAATATTTTGTTGTAGTAATGATAATAATAAACAGTTGTGCTTTCATTAACAAAATGTTTGATTTCAGGAAAATGATTCCACTCCGAAAAAGGACGCTAAGCCGAGCTTAGCGGATCGCCTACGTCAATTGGCTGACGGTACTCTTCCCCTGGAAGATCGAGTTGATCGAATACCCCCTCGTAGCCGGCAAGATCGAGACAGGTCGGATAGAAGCTTTGATGACTCCCGAGCAGCACGTGGTGAACCACTCTCATCGCTAATGGATTTACCGAAATTCGGTTTACCTCAAGAAAGAAGTGACTTTCCTGCTCGACCGCCAGATTTCCGAAATCCCCAAGATCCAAGAGAATTTCAACAACAGAGAGACAGACAGAATTTTGGAAGAGGTCCTAGAGGATCACAAATGCATGAAGAATTTATGGACGCTCCAAGGATACAGGGTGGTATGTTCCAAGAAGAGTTCGATAATAGAATACATGGGCAGCAAAGAATAGAAGAATTTGGAAGACTTGGACCCCCCCGAGAACAGAGGTAAGTTCATTTTATGGTCATTTGGGAGCTTTCAATATTTTAATGTATCTTGTTTTGAAAAAAAAATCACGAGTCTATATTTCATAATTTCAACTCTTTACTTTACATGGTATACTCTATGTAGTTGATTGTGCATTTTAGATGAAACACATATTTTTAAAACATCTAATGAATATTAATAGATGTTTATTTAACAATAAATATAGTATATTTTGATAATAATTTAACTAACTAACTTTAAGTAAATTAGTTATTGATTATTCTTGTCTGCCAAAGGGAGGAATTTGACAGGTCTGAAGTGAGAGGAAGAAGGCCGCTTGATGATCGGGATCGGTTTGATTATGAAATTAGGCGGGATGGTTTCGATCCACGGCTACAGGATGGCTTCGATCCAAGAGGACATCTGGATCGTGGTGATTTTGAACCTAGAAGACGAGAATTTTTTGGAATTGAACCCATGTTTGGAATGCCACCTATTATGGGACCCAGAGGTCCGAGACCTGGTCATCCCGATGGGTTTGGTCCTCGTCCAGCTCCTTTAGGTGCTCGTGGCCCCGGTAAGAACATCGTTTTTTTTTATTAGAGCTCAATGTTTCATTTCCAAGTATATTGTATTAATTGTTCATTTCACTTTTTTGAAAAAAATGTGGATCATTTTGGCTTAGTATGACATCGGAAGGTTAATTTTTAAATTAAATTAATAATTGTCTGACAGAATTATTACGTGACAAACAGATTAAATTGCAGTTATTTAAATGTTTGTAATTGTATAAAGAATATATTGTTGAATTTGGAAGTACCTACAGAATTAATGTTGGACAATGGCATTTATCCGCATACATTGGTCAATTAAAGTTTTTGAAAGGCGCATCAAGTTAAGTTTTTTTCTCTACCAATTGTTACGGTGCAGGCAGCGCTCGGAATTAACCAGCACGTAACATGAGGATCGCAAGCGCTACGCCTTCTGACTCCCATCGCACGTCAGCGAGGGAGAGGGAGAGAGAGAGAGAAAGAGCGACGGGTGTCAGGAGGCATAACCCTCGCGATCCTCATATTGGGTGCTGGTTAATTCCAAGCTCTGAGTGTAGGGTTTTGTAATAGGTTATAATGTTTCTAAGTAATAAAATCTAAAATTCATTTTAACTGTTCAATGTTTAATCATTCAGAAATTTTCTTTTATAAAATGCCTAATTAAACAAAGAAATGTATAAAAATATTACTAAACATTTCTTTTTTAGGACCTTTAATGTTCCATCCAAGAGGGTTAGGACCTCGTCCTCTTCGCCCTGGTATGAGACCTTTTGGTCCACGTGGTCCACCGTTTGATCCTCGTGAGCCGGATGCTTTTTTCAGACCTCCTTTCGATGATATTCGCCCACATGTTCGGCCACCATTTGGACCTATGGGCCCTCCATCCATTCTTCCTCCAGAGTCTGCTGCTCCGTGGAGAAATCAGGAACACCCTCCCGGCTCATGGCCTCCTGATTCTGAAAATCATTCGCAAAGAGACAATCCCAGAGACAAAAAAGGTGTTAAACATCCAAACAACCAAAATATGGAACGGGACAGTCGGAACAACAGGGGACGTAAATCTAGGTGGGCCAATGTGAGTCCATCCGGAGAGGAAACGGAAGAACCGAAAGAGCAGGAACCATCTTCTGTTCCTGTTGATGTGAAAGAAGAATCTATCAAGGAAGAGGAAGCTGTTGTGAAACCTGAAGAACAAAAAACTGAATTAATGGAAGTAATTCCTAGTGAAAAGAAGGAGGATTTGGAAGAATCATCAATTGAGACGAAACAAGAAGAAGGCATTGAAACGACGAAGGAGGAAGAGGACCGCAGGGATTCTTAGACCAAAGTAAAGAGCGATTTTTCTCTTTAAGATTTTTTCTTACTCTGTGGAGTGGTGTGAAGGGGGACTCATTATATTGAGCTGAATTAGGTCGGAACAAAATAACTTCTTTGGAAAATGAAACGCTAAATACTAGATTAATTATTACATTCGATTAATGATATTATTGTGAAATCAAATATACGTTGATTTCAGATATTGGCTATGAAATTATAATAAAGGTATTTCTATAGAAAATTAACCGATAGAAAGAATTATAAAAAATGTAATTGAAGAGCCACAAGTCGCACTTAAAATGAATAATTTTGAGAGACGTAGTATTAAAATTTAATAAACAAAAATGTTAAATTTAAATTGATTTTTATATCATTATATAACGTGCAAAATGAAAGTAGTAGAAAGAATTTAAATGCTTAATGAAAAGCAAATTTTCTTAAGAAGTGAGCGTTTCAAATTTCAAAGAAATCAATTTTTTAATCGGCTACACGTGTGAGGCACTGTGATTTGAGAACACAGGACCTATGACCCGTGGATACTCCAAGTGGCGACTTATTTATTAAATTGTAAATACTTTTGTATTTTCGTAGTAAACAATTATACAGTGCATCATGTTTGAGCGCGTCAATTCAATTATTTCTTAAGCTATTAAAACTACATTATTGTTTACACAGAATTTGCTTTGTGTTAAATGAGAAAAGATAATGGCGGACTGAAATATTTATAAATCAATTGTTGCAAAGATTTCAAGTTTGCCTACAAATTTTTAAATGTAATTACCTATTTTTATGATACTAATCTTTAGTTCGTTGAATTCATCTCAGAACGCACAACATAAACATATACATATAGTTTCATTTGGAAAAATGGTGGTGATCTTGAAATCTATGAAACATTTAAATTCATTACTAAGTTTTTTCTCTAAGACAATACAACTTCTGCATAAACATCTTTTTTATATTTTCCATGGCCTAAGAAATAATTGACTGTACACATTCAAACCATACCTACTGTATAGATAGATGAATCTTAATAGTAGGATCTTGATTAACCGTACATCTTACAAACTTCAAGTATTTTCATATGGACATTTTTGTTGATTGAACTCTATATTCAATACAAGTCTTATAATGCAGATTTTACATATGTATATATGTGATATACATACATATATAGTATATTTACGAATTTAATAGCATGTATTAAATTTAATTTTTAGCTACATCTTCTTGAAAGATTTTTTATTAATTGTTAATTACACACTGAACAGTGATTTGAACTTTGGAATAAAGTTACATTTATACAGAATTGAACGTTCGATCAACAGAAAAGGTCAGAAATAAAATATGTATGCGCTAATTCGGGTAAGCAAGATTCTACCACCGCAAATATTTAAATAGATAGAGAGAGAGATTATATATATAAATATATATTTATATACACTTATATATATATAAATATATATTTATATATATATGTGTATGAGAATGAATGTAAACTACAAAGAATGGAAGAGAATGAGTGGGAGAGAGTGATTGAGAGAAAGAGAGAGAAAAAACGAGAGAAAGTGAAATAGAGAGCGAGAGTATATATAGCGCCCTTGTTCGGCGTAGCTCAATCAAACGAACGAAAAATAAATATTTTCTATATAACATCTTTTTTCATAAGCAGAATTATAGCCTCTCATTCCGCTTGGCTCCCGGAATTGCCTTACGTTGTTTTGTTTACTTTTAAGAGAACTCCTGGCATTGGATACTTCAGATCGAATAATTCATTTAATTGCACCCAGTTATAAAAGACATCTCGTGAATTATGAAATTCTATTTAAATAATTTTGTCTGGGAGTCTTCGTAGGAAAATTAAAAATTTTAATTATTCACTAACACTGATCAACCATGCATAAAAATTTAATTAATTTTTTTAGTTTTACCTACTTTTGTTTCTATTCAAATGAAAGCTCTTAATTAAGTATGGGAAAAAGTTACGGAGAAAAGTTGCATAGTTCAAATGAGAATGTATAGTGAACAAAACAATTTTAAGAAATTGTTTTTAACTGTCTTATTTACATGGCAATTATTATTACCTTAAAGTGCGTGCATTGATATAATTCTTGGTTATTTCTCTTCGAGTGTAGTACTATTCTAATCGGATTTGATATGTCTTCTAACTATGCATTTTTTATCTGGAAAATTTTTCCTCCGAATATCAAATTATTCTGTGATCAATATTTTATGGTGCAAACACGTTCAATTAAGAAACACAGAAGTGTTCATTATCAAGAAAGAAAAGAAAGATACGTTGTGAACGATATTCGGAATGGAATGAAATCTTTTCAGAGCAGCTTTGGATACTTGTTCAGTACTCGTACTCGTGTGTTCACATGCGTGAGTCTCTCTCTCTGTCGCCACACGACGATGGAACACCAGCCACCAGGTCGCTTGCGCTCAAACAGAGTGACAAGTGCAAGGTACTGTTGTGTTTATAACTCATTATATTTATATACTGAATGCTATATTTCTTTCTGGACGAACTACAACGAAAGCATCCTGAAATGCATCAAATCGTTGTTATTATTACTATTATTATTATTATTATTATTATTATTATTATTATTATTATCATTATTATTATTATTAGTATTAGTATTATTGTTGTTGATTGATGTTGTACAAACGATTTGAACGTCGGAACGAGGCAAATCGTCTGAATGAATATAATTTCCAATTTTTAAACTGTTCTCATCAGCTGTGCTCAAGTGAATCTTTAGATAAACTGAGCTTACTTGATTTAGATCTTTTAGTAATTCAAATCATTTTTCATAATTGGGACATTAATTTTATTTTAAGCAGTAGCAATATTAGTATACTTTATATATTTAACGTGTAGAGTTTAATATTACGAAATGCTATATCAAATGATAAGATTGTACATTTTGTTCGTAATTGCTGTGCAATAATTGATGGTACGAGCGATGATTGCACATAGAATAATTACTCTTTAATGACTAAATATTATTTGTCAAGTACAAGAAAAACATGTTTATTCTGTTAATTATGGTTAATTAATGGTTAGATTGGTTAGTCTAATTTATCAAATTTTTGATAAATCTTTCACAAATTTAAATCTAATTTAATAATCGACACCAAGTTTAATATAATCCGCCCCAGAGTAATGATTTTCAAACGCTAATGAAATTTGGCTAACAATCGAAACTTGTTGCGACATAGTTTCGTGTAAACACAAGTTCGTCCAGAATGCAATAATATTTTTTTACCAAATATTATAAATTTCTTTTGAAGTTAGATCGAAAAAATTAAGAAGAACATAACCGAAAGTAGTATAAAGAGCCCGTGCACCACTCCGGAGCAGAGTTTAAGAAAAAAGAGTTCCATTTTTCAATTTTAAGAAAATAGCTTAACGAGCAGAAAAGAGTAGAAGGACCCAATATTAATTCATTTACATAAACAAATCATACTTTATGTGACGTTTCGTTTACTAATTTATACGCAAGTGACGAGCAATAACAGGATTAACAAATTGAAAAGGCAACGAAAATCATATTTTATAATCAATCTATATATCATAGATTGCAAATAAGTTATCCTTTTTATTCTTTTATTTAACCAAAATATACTTGTCCTCATTATCAATTAATTAAATATCAATTTACTTCCATTGTGACTATTATTATTTCATTGCTGTTGTTTTTGAAATCCATTTTTCAAATTGTGTGACGTGTGTGTATTTTATAGCCTGTTATTGACGTCGATTTGATCGATGGAAAAAGTTGATACGCACATGCGCAGAAGTTCGTGGTCAATAAAGGAATTAAGATTG